TATATCTGTGTGTGTAGATTGAGTAAGAGAGAGAGGAGAGAGAATATAATCATCTCAACACATGAAAAACCTTGAAACCTGAATTTGATGAATAATAAAATATTCTGTTTTCTCATCATGCTCTAAGCGTTTCATAAAAGTAATATTATAAAACTATTAAAAGAAAAAATAAATAATATAAAACATATAAAACTCAAAGTGAAAATGGAGAAATTTTTTATACAAAACTTTTCATCACATTTTAGGACTGATAAATTCGTGCTATCTCGACAGTTGAGAAAACTATGCATTTTAATAATCAGACATGCAAACAATAGCCTATATCGAACCACGACCTATGCACAACACTGTGGTGACAATAGTCTATATCGAACCACGACCTATGCACAACACTGTGGTGCGATTCACGTACGCCGTCGTCCAAACGACCACCTAGATCTCATTACGCTCTATACACAGTGGCGTGATGCAATCCACGTATGAAGTCGTCCAAACAACGTGCGTAATACTTTCTCCTGATAGTAGTACTATTTTGACGTCTGACACTTCCCTATATTTAACTCATTCAAACTTCAATAACATGACCCAAATTCTTTCATGAAAATAACGTTTAGTACATTTTTCTCCTTCATTCGTAGAATTTCTTTTGGGTCCATGTGGCTACATTGTATGAAGCAAGTTCAAAGATCATGCATTGATTGACGGCTAACTGAGGAAAAATTGTTTGCATCATGACATGTTTTTTGAGCCGAACATATAACATAACTAGATGACAAATAAAATTGTCATATAAATTTACATATATATACTATGTAAAAATTTTGGTATTTAATGACAACACTCACTATCATATTAAAATATATAAATGTTAAGATTTAGATCACTTTAAAAAAACAATATTAACCGTATTTTTAGATGATGTTTAAGATTTGAATGTTTTATAAATAAATATCAAAGTTTAGCGGGCAGAAATGTACGCTAAAGAAAACTAACAAAATACCTCCATAAAAAAAATGATTATGATAAAATTTTAGACTTAGCTTAGCTATGAAGCCACATATAAACAATGCAGAAAACAAAATGACACAACAAACAGACAATCAAACAATGTGCAATTTACGTGGTTATGCGCAAATCCACATGCGTCCGCCCCGGCCGTGTGGTTTGTTTAGTCATTTTGAAAGAGATTAAATTTTAAGTGATAATAATTAATCATCAAAACATTTGAATGTCACTTGAACACTAGATAGAGATATTAAATTAGTGAGTTATTAACACCCAAAACTATACCCCTAAGTCTAGGATCATTTAATTTGGTAGACTCCCAAATTTTAATAATTTAAGAAAATTATAAATTTTTCCTTTAATTAATAAAAGTGAGATTGATTTCTACCAATTAATCTCCTTAGATCCAAATATGTTAATCAAGATCAAAGGTTGTTCATTTTCCTTTCTTTAATTAAGCCTAAATATTAATTAAGGCTAAAAATAGTCGGAATAGGGTTACCACTCTGCCCACGAAAATCAACCCTTATATATCGTGGAATATTACATCGCATTACTTGATTTGGGGCTCAAATATTAGAATATTCCCCCGCATTACTTGATTTGGGGCCATGTTATTCCAATAACATAGTGAAAATTGAAATAACAAATTGGAATAACACGGAGAATATGTCAAATAACATAGCCTCAAATCAAGTAAAGCAGAGAAATGTTCCAATAACACCGCAAAATAATCGAATAACACCATATAATACTCAAATAACACATCATTTTTACGAATAACGCAAATGGAATATTCCCGTAACCGCAGATGAAATATTCCCGTAACACATCCGAATATTCCAATCCGAATGTAGCTCTACGTCAGAAGTCCTAATTTAATATTTTTTCCCATCTAATCTATATGTCATACAATCACAAATATATCTAACATAAAAAAGATCATGTAATTAGATCTCTAATAAAATTAACTAATATCAATCTAAAGATCATTTAATTAAATCTCTTGTAATTATGCTTTCCTTCTTAAGGAAGCAAGAATGATGCTCCTCCCCCCCCCTCAATTGCTACTTCTTTGGTGATGATGGTGGCCTTTTGAAAGCCCTATGGGTGGTGGAAAAGCATATGCTATCTTTTTATTTCTAAGATCAAATTATGATAATATTTATTATTCTGTGATACTTTTGTTCATCATGAAATATTTCTTTCATTAATTCATATTTGAATATTCATAATGCTTTTTTTAAAGGAATAATAATGCTCTAATTATTTAATTTAATGAATTAAGAGGAGTCTTTTTTTATTTCCAAAAATTTAAAAAATGCAAACTTAAGTAAAAAGGAGGATTTACAAAAAAACCACTCAATTCCTATGTATTTACATATCTAACACCTAAAATTCAGTTTTTACATACATGCATCTTACCTATGGTAAATAAATGAAATTTAAAATAGCAACATTTTTTATATGTGATATGAAAGATTTGTGTGGTATAAATGCAAAAAGTTAAAGCATAGATGTTAGATATGTAATATAAAAAAATGATGCTAAATGGAGTGGTTGGCTGCTTCTTAGATTTATGTTAAATAAGATTTATCGAATCCTATAAATCCGAGTTTATGCGATGGAAGAATTTGTGAGCGATATTATGAAATTCGAATTTAAGTCCTATAAATGACGGAACACGAGGATTGAAAAATGAAACACGACTTAAGTTAAATCAATAACTAAATTCAATTAATAGTATGGTCCTAAACACCACCTATTTCTATTTGGCCGCACGACTCGCCTCCTTCATGTCATGGAGAACACTAGGAGTTGGTTTGGCCAACATAATTCAGAAGAAGCATGTCTACTAGAACGACCAAATTCGCCGTTTTAAGATCGGATGGAGGTCCCTCCATTCCTTCGTTTCAGTCATCTGACCCATTGCATCCATAGGACATAGTTTTTTAAAGAAGTTTTTGAGGCTGTAGCTTTTAAACGAAAATTTTTCAATGACAATGCCGGATCAAACGAGACCTTAAATATTTAGCCGAACACTAATTAATACAATGCTCTAAAGTAAAAGAGAAGCCCAATAGATTGTTGTCACTAGAGTGATACCATATTATCATGGCATTGAGAATAAGAGATAATAAGAATTGCAACCAAAGTTATATTTGATATAAACATCAAAATATGATGTATACTTAAGGTGGGTTGTTTAATTGGCAGAAAAACTATGTAATGTAATTGAAATGTAGTAAGTTTACTTTATTCGCTTATTGTTTCGTTTTGCTGCATATTTTTAATTTGTCTTGTTTATGTTTAGGGGAGCCGAGATTGATCTTCATCATCCACAATCCGGGTTCACATCACACTTCAAAAAAATCCAAATTTTCGTTAGATTTATTGCAAAAATGGTGAGTAAGATATAGTCAAGCTTGCCGTGATCTAACAAAAATCAGCTTCCCGAGTGATTTTGATCTAGATTTACTCGTAGACTACCCCTACGAGTTAGCTTGTCTAAGACGGTGTTTGGCTGCGACTTGGATTTATGTTAAACAGGATTGAACAAATCCAACGAAAATGGGTTTATCTAACCCTCTGCAGACCTCGTGAACAATGACAAACTACTTATCGTAAAACTGCTTCACAGTTGGATTTAATATATCCGAATTCACACGAAAGATTCTAAATTAAAAGAACGTTGGGTTTAACGAAATTTATGTTAAATCCCTCGCTTACATACTACTAAACACCCCCTAAGTTTGATTTGTCATGAACTTACTCTCAAATTAAATCATATATCTACCCATGTATATATATATATAAAAGTGAGAAGTAATGTGAAGGAAAAATTAAAGGGGCAATTACATAGAGACCACTCAAAACTTAGTATTTACAAACTTGCCACTTTCTTTCACCCATTTTTCAAATTCTCATATAAATAACAAAATTTATGGTAAAACTCCGAGAAATATTTTTCAGTTTTATTTTCATCAAATTCTCATTCGGCAGACTCGGCAGCTCCAGAAAATTATCTAGGGGCTTATTTGTAAATATCAATATTTAAGATGATCTGTATGCAATTATACCGGAAATTAACAAAAAAACAGGCAAAAAAAAAAACATTTCATCAACCGTTTTTTCCAGTAATTAATAATAAATAAATTAATTGACCAGCGATAATAATACAGAAGGAAGGCGGGGAAGAGGGAGGGGGAGAGAGAGAGCGAGCATGGAAGTCAAGCCGGAGATGATGGAGCTCGGGTATTTAATGGCCTCTCACTCCTCTAAATTCTGCTCATTCCGTTCTTCTCCTTCACTCTTCATCTTCATCTTCATCTTCATCTGTGCTTTTGCCCTCTAATCTCTGCAAGCTTCTCTTCTCAGGTCATATCCGACTAGAAGAGTGCGGCGTTCAGAGGGAATCGAATCGTTTCCGCAGCTGTAGGTGAGGGATGAAGTACGTTTTGGTAACGGGGGGAGTGGTTAGTGGGTTGGGGAAGGGGGTGACGGCGAGCAGCATTGGGGTTCTGCTTCAGGCTTGCGGTCTTAGAGTCACCTCCATTAAGATTGGTATGTGGCCGGGCTATTTTCTTAGAGATCTCTATCTGTTTTGATTGACCTCTATTAATCTTCTCTTTGTAAGAGAAAGGTGTTTCTGCGCGGGAATATAAATCTCCCAATCTTTTTTCTTAGCTTTTTTTTTGAAATTTTTGAGTGCCGAGCTGCAAGATTCATTGGAACCCTAATAATATCTTTTTTTTTACCCTAGTTTACAATCCCGAACTAGAATAGCGCATTGTGAGCATCTTTTCTGGGAGGTTTTTGAATGTTTGTCGGCCTTTTTTTTCTTTTGTTTTTTCCAGTTCTTATTCCAATTTTAGCTGCGTTTTTTTGAACTAATAAGCTTTTGAACTTTTCTGATCGGATTGGAACCGAGAGTATCATCTTATTTTTTGTTTGTTTGTTTGAATTAGAAGGAGTTTTAGAAGACATAAAATTGCATAAAGCTGCTAACAAATGCTGCTTTACCACTGTAGCCGGATGATGGCATGTGCTTGTGTTGGATAATGTTAGGCGAAAGGGCCCCGCCATTGGCGGGGCTTCGAAATAATTTAATTCTGAGAATTAGAATCGGTTTTCTTTGTTGTTTTTCAACTTCCTGTTTCTTTCAACCTATCGGTTAAAAAATCTACATTTTTTTGAAATTTATATAATTTAAGTGTCTATTTGGGGGGCAGTTGCAGCTGTTTGAAAAGCTTCTGTTAAAAAAGTTGCAGATATATTTTTTATTTTGAAAAATTAGCTGCAGATATATTTTTTACTTTGAAAAATTCAAATCGTAGCATTCTAGCAGCCACCACAGTATGGTGTGGTGACAAATAGCTTTTTGAAAAAGTAGAGAAAATATAGTTTTTTTTTAAATAGAAAAAAAACTGCGGTGTGACACTACTCCGCCACCGTATTGCCACCCCAAATGCACCCTTAAATCTCATGCGTGCGTCCAAGCACTAAGCCCCATTAATCTACCATCACAAAAAGAAAAAAATTCCTTTTCATTCATTTAATTTATTGTTTGGATGAATAGAAGGCATGAGTTCTTACATTGTTGCATGGTTGCACGCAGATCCTTACCTTAATACTGATGCGGGGACGATGTCTCCTTTGGAGCATGGAGAAGTTTTTGTTTTAGATGATGGTGGTGAGGTAAGCAAAAACTAAGACTTGAGCTTTAATCTTTTTTATCCCTTTTTTTCACTTTATATGATTTTTTTGCGTGTATTTACATATATACTACTTAATTTCTATGCATTTACATATCTTACATATACACTCCAATTTTTATATATATGCCACTTTACTAATGCATGGAAAGGTGTGTTTCACTTTTTAAAAGTCAAAATAGTGGCATTTTTATCTGATATGAATAAATTGGGTGGTATGAATGTAAAATGCAATGTTTAAGTGTTAGATATGTATATACATAGGAATTGGGCGATATGTATGTAAATGTCTTTTCTTTATTCATTTGTCTTTATCATTGTCTTCTTCCACTGCCCTTGCCCATTTGCTGCATGATTTCAAGTTGATATCATTCTCATAAATCTCTTGAAACATACCATTAGGTGCATTTAATTGATTTTAAAGAGTTTTTAATGGATTTTTAATTCAAAACAAACGCCATACCGTGTCCCCATCCCAATTCTAGAAAGTCTAATTTGTTGCTTTGGAAGCAAATATTACCACCCTAGGCATTTACATATATAACACCTAAAATTTGCTTATTTACATCAATACCACCTAAATCTCGTATATCACATAAAAAATATCAATATTTTAACTTTAAAAGTGAAGCACACCTTTTAATGCATATGTAAAGTAGCATATATGTAAATATTAAAGTTCAGGTGTTCAATATGTAATTAAATAGAAATTAAGTGGCATGTATGTAAATCTTCCATTATTTTTTCTCTTTTTTTTATGGTGCATTTTTTTTCAATGTTTTGAAGGTGGATTTGGATCTAGGTAATTATGAGAGGTTTCTTGACATCAAACTAACTCGCGATAACAACATTACAACCGGAAAGATTTACCAGGTATCGATTTTCTTCATTGAAATTTAAAAGAATATATCATTTCGGGTCTGTTTGAGGCGGCTGAAGTTATTTTTAAAAGCTCCTGTTATATTTATGGACTTTTTTTTCTTACCTTTTTTAAAAAGTTTATTATCATAGCGTCGCGAAGTTAATTGTAAAAAGCTATTTCATGCAATATAAATTTTTTAAAAGAATCATGAAATATGTAATCAAACAAAAGTGTGGCAATTATCTAGAGAGCTAAACTATGAAAAAGCCATCCAAAATGGACTTTTTATGTAATCCAAATTCTTTTGTTTTTAGTATTCTTAATTTGGTACTCTTTATTTCTTAAAAGATTTTTTTTTTTTAAAAAATGACAGTTTGTCCTTAATAAGAGGAGAGAAAAGGGGATTATTTGGGGAAAACTGTTCAGGTTATCCCACACATCACAGATGCCATACAAGAATGGATTGAAAGGGTAGCAGTGATTCCTGTTGATGGAAAAGAAGGACCTGCTGATGTCTGTGTTATAGAACTTGGTGGAACAATAGGTAATAAACATTTTAAAATGTTTTATTTTATATTTAAGTGTAGGGGCATTTACGTACATGGGATGCAATTCTTTTGTATTTACAAATCTCCCACCTAAACTTTCATTTTTACACACACAAAACTCAAATCTTTAATTTCACGTCAAAAGCAGCACAATTACCACTTTTTAAAAGTTAAATTCACTTTTTCATGCATAGGTTTAAAGCGCCAAAGTGCTATGTACCTAAACATCATAGTTTAGCTACGAGATATATAAATAAATAAGAATTGTGTGCTTAGTAAGATAAGTTGTTGGTGTTCTTTCCAACAGCTTATCTTATTATAAGCTCTTTGAACTTATTAGTTCAAAAAAGCACAACTAAAATTGACGTAGAAAAAAAAGCTGACAAAAACTCAATTTGTATGTTTACATATCTCATACCTAAACTTTCATATTTGCACATAGAACACTTAAGTCCTTGATATCACATCAAAAATAGCATTAGCACTACTTTTAAAAGTAAATGCATATGCTTAAAGAACCAAAGTGTGATGCATGTAAATATAAAATTTTGGGTGTGAAATATGTAAATACATAAGAATTGTGTTCTACCTATGTAAATTTCCCTAAGTATAATAAGATAAGCTTTTGGTGTTATTTCCCCAAGTATATTAAAATAAGCTGTTGGTGTCCTTTCTCCATTCCACTTAAAATTTGCAGTTCTGAAATTCTTTATGCAGGAGATATTGAATCTATGCCCTTTTTTGAGGCTCTTAGTCAGTTCTCCTATCGCGTAGGTGAGAGAATTCCTTCACATACTTATATGGAAGATGATTATTTTTTCCTTCCAAGCTTTCTTTCTCCTACAATTCAATGTCTTCAACGTTTCGTTTTTATGGAGACAAATGAGCCTCGTTTCACTAAAGAAAAAAAAAAAATCTTTCTTATGTATTTGTTCCAGGTCCTGGTAACTTCTGCCTTGTTCATGTCAGTCTTGTTCCAGTTCTAAATGCTGTAGGTGAACAGGTACAGTTTTTTCTAGGAAGATTTACATCCATACCACTCAATTCCTTTGTATTTACATTTCTAACAGCTAAAGTTCAATTTTATACATACATACCACCTTAAATATGCACGAAAGGTGTATTTCACTTTTTAAACCTTAAGAAGGCGAGATTTTTGATGTGTTATGAAAGTAAATTTGAGGTGTTAAATATGTTAATATAGAAATTGGGAGGTATGTATATAAATATCCCTTTTTGCTTAATTGTAAAAAATAAAACCTGCACTCAGATTCTATCTGTTATAATGTTTTCTTATGAATTGCAGAAAACAAAACCAACACAACATAGCGTTCGGGGTTTAAGAGGCAATGGATTGACTCCAAATATTCTCGCTTGCCGAAGCACATCGGTCTCTCCTTTCTTCAACTCTTAATTACTTCTCTTGGTCTATATATCTAACGGCAGTCTTTGGCTATTCTTTATTGTTTTAATAATTCTGGATTTGCCGTAACTTTACTGCAAATTTTCGTGCAGCGTTTGGATGAAAATGTAAAAGAAAAACTTTCTCAATTTTGCCATGTTCAGGTCCGTTTTGCAATTTTCTTGCGGCTCTTGCCATTTCTCAAGTCATATATGCTGCTTGGGAAATTTACATACGCTCCACACAATTCTTATATATTTACATATCTCTCACATAAACTTTCATATTTACATGCATATTTTGGTGCTGGTGCTTTAAAGTTACACATGAAAATGTGTATTTCCCTTTTTAAAAGTGGTAATAGTGCTATTTTTTATGTTTCTATGTGGGTAAATATGAAAGTCTAAGTATCATAGATGTAAATACATAAGAATTAGGTAAATACATGAAAATATTTGACTGAAATTATGCTTTGATATAAATTCTGCTGCAGATGTCAAATATTGTTACTCTGTATGATGTTCCAAACATTTGGCATATTCCCTTGCTTCTAAGGGTAGTTATTCTCTCTGATTTTTAATTGGAAGTTCTCTTCTTCACATTTCCGGCTTGTTTGCCTCATTTTGTGTTCTAATTTTTGTCCTTTTTTAGGACCAGAAGGCACATATTGCCATCTTGAGAGCTTTGAACCTCCAAGGGTCTGTTTAACTCTTTTGATAAATCTATCTAGGTTTTTCATTAACATTCTCAGGGGCTGTCTGGTAATGGTTTTAGCTGCTTTAGTAAAACTTGTAAATCCGGATTTACTAAATCCTCCTATCAATAGGATTTAGTAAATCCAAAATTTAAGGCAGAACTGAGAAGAAAACTAAAAAGAAATAAGATTTTTGTGGAATCTAGGATTTAAAAGTGCCATTTTTGCTGTCTGGCAAAATTTGTTACAAGATAGCCCCTTATATTGATAATACAAGATGTTAATAAGGTTTAAAATTTGTCTTTATTCTGCAGCATGACCCGAGAACCTGTGTTGGAAGAATGGACTTCCATGGCTAAAACCTGCGATACTCTGCATGATCCAGTGGGTTTAGCTATTTAAATATTTAAACACCTTTGATAGTTTGTATTCTCTCTTCTTCTAAATTTGAGATGCCGAAATGTTTTCAGGTTAGGATTGCGATAGTTGGAAAATATACTAGTCTTCCCGACTCATACCTCTCTGTTGTGAAGGTACTCCTTTCCCCTATTTTTTTGGAAGATTTACATACATAATACTCAATTTCTTTGTATTTACGTAGATCTAGCACCTAAACTTCAATTTTTACATGCATGCCACCTTACCCATGCACGATAAGGTGTATTTCACCTTTGAAAAGTTAAAATGGCGGTATTTTTTATGTGATATGAAAGATTTTGGTGATATTAATGTAAAAGTTAAAGTTTAGGTGTTAGATTCGTAAATACATAGGAATTGAAGGAATGTATGTAAATTCCCCTTTTTTTCGAATTTTTTTTTTCCTCCTACTGAAAGTCTCGTTTATCTGTGCAAATATGTGTAGAGCGAAACTATTCCTTCCCTGCTGCTTTTATGTGCCTGACTTGTATCTCATTTGTAAATGTACCCATTAAATGTTTCCATTAATAGCTTGATTTGAGAAATTGCCTTTTCCCCCCTTTTCGTTGCTTTCCACCTTGACTTATTTTGTTGAGAAATTGACTGAAACTAAAGGGGGTCTTTGAAAAATGAATGTCTTTTATTCTCATGTAATGATTTATTATACATAATATTATTAAAAGTAGTTTGATAAATCATCAATAGAGAATCTCAACCCTTCCCATTATTGAAAGAGAATCACATCATTTCATTATAAATATCTTAAAAATATTATCTATTGGATAAATATAATATAAAAAAAATTCAACTCAACATTCCTTACTCATCTTCGAGACTTTTCTTCTATTATGTTGCTACAACATTCTTAACTCATGTTCTAGACTTCTCATCTATTTTGTAGCTATCTTATCACAATTAGCCTAGCATTAATTCATTTATGTGCTAAATTTGTAGGCTCTTTTGCATGCTTCGGTAGCCTGCTGCAGGAAACTTGTAATTGATTGGATTTCTTCCATGGACCTTGAAGACTCTACTGCAGAAGAGGTTTGTCAAAACTTTTTTTTTTTGGTTGGAAATTTACATATGTAGCACACAATTCTTGTTTACAAGACACCTAAAATTTCATATTTACATGCATAACACTTCAGTGCCTTAAACCTATGCATGAAAGATATATTTACGTTTAAAAAGGGGTAATAGAGATATTTTTAATGTGATATTAAAGATTTGAGTGCCATTTGTGTAAATATGAAAGTTTAGCTCTGAGATTTTTAAATACATAAGAATTTTGTGCTATGTAGCCCTTGTTTTTAGTATCTCTGTATTGTACTTGTCCTAATGGGTTGGTGAAATTCTTTTCAGGCACCTTATGTTCATAAAGCAGCTTGGAATTTACTGAAGGTAAGCTAGTATGGTTGTCCATGCATAACGGTTGACAACTTGACATGAACTGTAAATTTTATTTTAAATTTATTTACACTTTCAGTTAATTTTATTTAATCAACATTCCATAGCTTTAGCTCATATTGAAATTTTATTTTGCAGGGTACTGATGGAATATTAATTCCTGGAGGTTTTGGTGATAGAGGCATCCAAGGGAAAATTCTTGCAGCAAAGTATGCGCGAGAAAATAGTATTCCATTTCTAGGAATATGTCTTGGCATGCAAATTGCAGTGATTGAATTCGCTCGCAATGTCATGAATTTACATGATGCCAATAGCACAGAGTTTGATACTAACACGAAGAACCCATGCGTGATATTTATGCCTGAGGTATGTTCTTTTACAATGGATTTACACACTGCACAATTCTTATGTAAATAAATATTTAACACCAAAACTTTAATACTTTCATTCACACACACACACAAACACTAATATTAATTATTTAATGTGAAGTACGCCTTTTCATGCATAGTATCTGATGGGATTATGGCACTAAAGTGTTACATATGATATATGTAAATATTAAACATTGGGTGTTAAATATGTAAATATATAAGAGTTTTATGGTATGTATTTAAATTCCCTTTTTTTATTTTAATTCCTTCTCAATATTCCTTGTTTAATTTTTTTAATCATAAATGAGTTGTCTTTGCAGGGTTCCAGAACACAAATGGGGGGCACAATGAGGCTTGGCTCTCGAAGGACTTACTTTCAGCCTAAAGATAGTAAATCTGCTAAGCTGTGAGTAATTTGAATCTTCAAACTCTTTTTCTTTCATTGTGATTTTATTTTATTTATTTATTTATTTTTATTTATTTTTCATATGGAATATCTTACTTTGATTCCTTAAAATGACCTGATATATTGTTTTATTAACAGGTATGGAAATGTGAAATATGTTGATGAAAGGCACAGGCATAGATATGAGGTTGGTTCTGTAACAGTTTTTCTCTCTCTCTTCCTTTGTGTGGAAAATTCTATTGTATTTTCCTTTATGTAAAATTTTGCACATAGGATTTTCAAATAAAAAGAACATACCAAAAGCAGTGCTTCTGCTAGCCATTTAGATCTATTGTATCTACTTAAATATGACACTGAAATTTGAAAAAAAAAATGATTATAATCTACTCCAAGGGTCACTGTAAGACAACTTTCTGTCTGCGTTGCTTCTGAGACCATCACCACAATTTTGTTTTGGGAATAATTTTTTTGCTGCTTTCTAAAAATTGATGCTCATTTATAAAGATGTGGTGGCTGTAAGAAATCTGATGTATCTGTAACTTTTTAAAAAATTGCCCGCCCTACCACAAATTCACAACCATCTTTACAAGAAGTTATTGCCGCCATAAACAAACCCTGGTG